TAAATGGTGAATGAAATTCAAATCCCGGGCTATTGCCTGCATCTTGTAACCTCTTTTACCTATGAGAAGCCATTTGCCACTACTGCTTTCCTTTCTGTGAGGTGATTCTTTGTGCCATTCAAACTCCATGCAATCATTCATACTATTTCCTTCATGTGAACGCCTTCTCTCCACTTACTTAAATTTTGCTTTCTTCAAGCCTAGCCCAAGTCTAATCCTGTTCACAAATAGACATCTTGATCACTCCAGCTCTCATAGATCTTTGCCTTTACTATGACTATGGTCTTTACTGAAGTGTTCCCTAATGACCCACTTTTCTATTATTTGCCTCCTTTTAAATTCCCGGGCAATGTTATCTATGACACTGTTGGTATCTCCATCATGTGGACCCATCAAACTTTCTTTTCTCCATCTCAGATCTCTCTCAGAGCATCAGCCCATCAAAACTCAATGTTTTTTGCAAGTTCTCCGGCTCAAAAATGTTCAAAAATTAACCTGTTCAAGTTCTTATATTTTGAGGATAATTATATTTTAATTATGAGTCCTTTTGCTTCTAGAGGTATATATCAACATATTTATAAATGAAATGATATATTGTCTCAGATTTATTTTAAAATAATATGCATGATGATACAAGGAAGTGGGTACATTATTCTATCTACAATTGCATGTGTTGGAAATTTTTCATAACACAAGTTTTAAAATACTTCATAGCTTTCCTCCATCATCACCTACCACCACATAAAACCTGCTCCTCCTTTGCTTAAATGCCCCACTGTTCCCCTAGTCCCAGCCTCAGGGCACACCCTAGGAGGAAAAAAATGGCATGTGAAGCTAAGTCAGTTCAACTACTCATAAGATAAGTGATCAAGTAGAAGTTCCTGGTGCCAAGGCAACTGAATTTTTAAAAATATTGTTTGAAAGGAACAGGAGAGATCATCTGTATAATTTAAAGAAAATTTACAGAGTTAAAATTTACCCCTCTGCTGGACAAGGTTCCCAATTTCAGGGTTCTCTAAAACAAGACAGGAGAAACATCCAAAATTCACGGTCATGTTACTTCCTTTGCTTGGGCCATATTTCCTCTCATCTCCTCAGAAGCTATCTACTTAAGCTTCAAGTGAGACTCTGCTCAACCATTTCCTTCTTTTTTCAGTATTACCTGAGTCTTCCTCTGCCTTCCATAGGCAGAATTTAATGCTTCTCATCAATATTCATATAGGACTTTATACGTGCTTACTTTTTGTGTGTACCACTGTAGAACATAGTTGTCAGTTTGTGTGTGTTTTGGCATAGTGCTACTGTAGACACAGAGTCAATTTAGATCTCTTCCCCACACCCCTAAGCCCTCAGTTCAAGGACCTTTCTTTGATTTTCCAATTATCATAGTGTATTAAAAGATTAGCTGTTCAATGAAAGTCTAAATCACACAAAATGTAATTTCCTAGTATATATTTTTCCTTTCAAGTGCTAATATTCATAAATTGGAAGTCTTCTTTCCTGAATTCTTTCACTCAAAAGTGCTGCCTCTTTCTCTAAATTCATAGATCTTTTTCCTCCCTTCCCAGCACGTCCCGATCCTCTTTGATTTTGGTGGTATGTGTCCTACCTCCTTTTCTACCAAAGATTTGTAAGAGCAACGACCATATCTTCTCTTGCTACTCTCTATCATTCCTGAACACATCTGATAAATTTGTTGAATATTTGAAAGGAAAATATTTTAGAAGAATGCTGTCTTCTCATTTGTGATTAACATGCCGTGTGTTTGATACCCTAGCCTAAATATTTCATGGGCTCCATTACTTTTAGAGGAAATAAAGAGGTCTGTAAATTAGGCCACCACTAATTACAACATGAGTATTCACATAGTTCTTTAAGGTTTGCAGCAGTATACTGGAATCATTTAATTAGTTAATGCTCACAAAGATATAATAATTGAAGATTTATATCTCCATTTTTAGAGTTGAAGAAACTAGCAATATTAGAAGCAGTTTCAGAGACAAAGCTAAGAATTTTATCCCAAGACTTTTAAATCAAATTCCTATGTCCTCTCATTTATATCATAGCTGCCTCTGTGTAAATGATAACAAACTCAGCTTATCTAAAATATCTCATCCATTACAGGTCTTTTAGAGGAATATTATAGCACGAAGAATTAGGTGAACTCTTCTAAAGCCAGATTGTGCTTAAATCCTGGCTCTACCTAGCTTCATGACTGGATGTCTTAATCCATTTAGAGATGCTATACTAGAATACCACAGGCTAGGAAACTGATAGTGAACACAAATCCATTTGGTTCACAGTTATGGAGGCTAGGAAGTCTAAAATCAAGAGTCCTATGGACCTTCTCTGCATCATAACACGTGGAAGACATCACATTGGTGAAAGAAAACACGAGAAGGCTGAACATGCTTTTATAACAAAGCCACTTCCTCAAAAACAACATAACCTGTTGCTCTAATCACACAAAGGCCCAGCCTCTCCACACTGTTATGTCTTGGATTCAGTTTCCAACACTTGAACTTTGGAGGACACATTTAAACCATATCAACAATCTTCCTAGAGAAGAAAAAAATCATTTTCTGAAGTAAATCAGTGAAATTAGTGAAGGAAACATAGTTAGCTGCTGTGAAGACTTTCTTGCTATTATGCTTATTCTGTGCCTTAGTTTTCTTATTTGTAAAATAAACATGACAGTAAAAACTTTCCAAAAGGTTGCACAAGGATTAGATGAATTGATATACATAAAGCATTTAGAATAGTGCCTAGGATTCGGTAACTATTATGTGATGGCTTGCCTTTATTACTACTTGGATCTTTTAAAATAAAACATATCCAATACATTTTGTATAGTGGAAAAGGAAGAACTATTTAGTGGTTTTGGGGGATCAATTTTTGAGACCAATCTTAAGATATTTATGGCAGTGGCAGCGAAAATTGCTTCATATTCTCCACAATCTTTCCAAACATACTTAGTTTGCAAAATCAGATTGGACATTGTACAGAAATAGCTTTACTCATAATATTTAGTACTTTCAGTTCCATTCCAGTTGGAATTTGAAATACCACTGCATGCAGAAATTTATAATTATGTGAAAACAACACAATCCCAACTTGTTTTTTATTTATTTTTCAGGAAAAGTGTCATTGATTGTCATGTGGAATAAAACCAAAAGTTGACATTTATTTGCTATCATAGGAATATGAATTAATCACCAAAAAACAGGTTATTGTGTTAGGAGCCACAACACAAGAATACTAGCAAGGTTGAGAAATGATATATAATCCAATTAATCATTCAGTCTATAAAAGTGCATTGCATATTCTCACATGCCAGGAAGTGTTCTAGAAAAAGGGTACACAACACCTGGCCTCCATACAGATGTTACCTACTAGTGCAAAAACACAGAAAATAAAAAAGTAGACAAAGAATTACAGATTTTATGGTTGGAGTCATGTAAGGAATGGAGGGTGATGTGATCTACTCTATTGGGAGGATGAAGGGGTGACTTTACACGCCACTTCTACTCTACAATCATCTGGGACGATTTGAACAGAACAATTTGAAAGATCACAAGAAGCCAGTCACACTGAAGAAGAGCAATTTTGACAAAGAGCAAATACAAAGGCCAGGAACTCTAAGAGATCCTTGTTTGCACTTGGGTGAGAAAGGAACTTTTGGTAGAGGGACAGAGCAAGCCAGAGGGAGCAGAAAGACTAAGTAGAAGACAGAATCAGAGGTTCTTCTCTGCTTGCCCTTGTAAACCACAGCTTAGAATTTGGTGACAACTTTATTATGAAAGACAGAGTTAAGAATCATCAATCAGAAAGAGGCCAATTACCAAAAGGATTGTTTTTCAGTTTGGATTTTTTTTTGCTCACTTTAAATACATTTTTGTTCTTCTCAGTAAATTTTTTGATGTGGTTCAAATGTAGTTAAAATAGCTTAGACAAAGATCAAACATGATCCAAGATTCTTGTGGTTTTATGTGACTTGCTGTCTCCTTTTAGAATAAAAGAAATACTACTCATAAAAATTGCTGGAAAAAGAAATTTAAAATAAAATTTACCCACAAACCTAAAATCTTAACATAATGTTATTAATTATTTATTCCAGAAGCAAACTTTTAAAAATATGTTTTGTTTGTGGTTATCCAACCTTTGTGAACTGAGGTTAAAGGAAGCAACAGATTCAGTTTAGAAAAAATAAAAAGAAACAGCAGAGGTTAGAGCAATAGTCAAGTTCAAATGGAAATGAGCATGTTTGGTTTAACAGGTACAATTGGTCAAAGAATAAGGTAGTAGTCTAAACAATATGGACAGAGAAGTTTTGATTTCCAATATAGCATCATTACGAGATAAGGTCCCGACCCACTTTGGAAGAAAAGGGACCATTGAGAAATTAGCCTTATTCTGATAGACGCTGCAATGGGAGGTGACAGTGGTAGCAGCAGAACTAGTGGTCATGCTTCAGGTCTCGGCTGAGCTCTAGTCAATGACAAGATCATGGTGGGGCATTCCTTGCTCATTCACTCATTTGAGATCCAGTGTTCCATAACTATCAACATCATCTTGCCCTTTCTTCCTTCTGTTCTCTCTTCCAACTCTTAGACTCGGGAGCCTGTAGGTTACAGTCTGTTTTGCAAGGCAAGACAGAACTCAAAGACCTCAAAACCACCTACTCTAGGGCAGTGCTAGGCCCATGTTTCAGGACCTCAGCTTATACACAACCCCCTCACTTCTACACCAAGGGTGAGCAAACACTTTACTCACTCAAGTGAGAATAGGCTGATTTAAAGAAACTTCTTCTGGGATCCAGGGATTGGAAATTTGAGATAGTGATGATTAGACTACTCTTGATTTTTCTTTTCTTTTTCACTTTATACAATAATGGGACTTCACACAATAGTAATAATAATGTCTAAGAATGCATTAGGTTGAAGCATGGACGTAGGTTATGTAAAATTAATCTTTCTCTCTTCTTTCTTTCTTTCTTTCAGACAGGATTCTGCCAAGCCACCACATTGCCCAGGTTGGGTTCACATTTTCCATCCTCCTCAGACCACCCCCCCACCGGAGTGCTGGGATTACAGGCCTTTGACTTCATACCGGCCAAAATATGTTACTTTTATCACAGGGCTCACTTTGCAATTATTTTTGCCTTCCAGATATACATATGGACATAAAAAGAGAAACACATATTATGTGTGTATATATCTATATATGTATGTGCATCATATTTATGAATAGAATTCTGTATCTTGTCTTTTTCACCAAATAAACATCTCCCCATATCATGAATTAATTCTCAGAAACATTTTACTGAATAAATAATCTACCACACAGGTGTATCATTCACAGTTTATTTAGTTAAAGGTACCCTATTGCTGGACTTTTAATTGGTTTCTAGTATTATAAATGATGCTATAACAAATACCGTAGAATACTAATGGTTTTCAGTTGCTGTTTTTTCATGTAAATCCCTAGACTTAGATCCAGTAAGAGCAAACATTTGAATATTTGTGAAAGTTCTTGATACATTGTCAAATTGCTCTCTTATCATTTTAAGAAGACTCTTCTCACTAAGTCCAGCAGTTATAACCAACTTTTAAAAACATTCACTGGCATTGATTTTAATAAAATTTAAGGTACAAATCAAAACCACTTTTTATTTTTCTCTCTCTATTTCTAAAGAAAGTAGGGAAATCAAAAGTAGGATTCATGCTGCAGTTAAAACATACAAAATGATCAAGCACAGTTTAAAAAATAAAGAGTATGTAGTGCTGAAATTGTGCACAAGATTGTTCCATTGTGTTTAGTTTTAGGAACAGTTTTCTTAGGGCCAATCCAGTGACCTTGGGCTGATATAGCTCCTGAAGCCTGCATGGTTAACTTTTGACTACTTTTGAGTAGAAAAATTCCTAGAACTTACTTAGGAACTTATATACTTGAAAAAATATCAACAGATGATTCACATTATGTATTTAAGCTACAAAAAATATTTTGCCCAGGGTTTGCCCTGGGCAATAACGGAATTAGAATGGTTTAAACATTTGATATGCACTCTAAATTATGTTTATTTTCAGTGAACTATTTCTAAATGAAATAATTTACCATTTCAAATATTTGGAAACAATGCACTTTACTAAAATATAGAGTAAGTTATAGTGCCTAGATTTTGTGGGATTTCAGTTGCTTTGGTAATATAAACTCATTCTTCCTTAGTGTTGTCAAATCAGGCGGCTGTTTTACTTCTAGTACCAGGTTGTCATTTTCATATTTGTCATTTCTTTTGTGGAAATTTCAAAATGGATAAATCAACTTTTCCCCCTAATTCTTATTTTCCTTGCTGCCAGTGGACCTACTTATCATGTATTTGTTTTTATACATTGTGACTATTAATCCTGATATGTCAATTTCACTAGATTAACAAATGCATTGCAGATTAGTAAAAGCATGCTCTCGGCTATGTCTGGATGGATCTTGGAGACATGGTCTTGGTGTACTCAATCCCTTGCCTGCTCCTCTCTGGCTCTATTCCCCTGCTCTGCTTCTTGGCTGCTGGGAACGGAGAATCTTTGTCCCACCACACCCTTCTGTCATGATATTTCTACTTTGGAACCAGCTGACTACAGACTGAATCCTTGAAACTGTGTCCAAATTAAACCTTTCCCTGTATAAATCATGGGTGTTAGATGCTGTGTATCAGGAATGGGAAAGCTAATACATACATCCTGTTCATTTAATATTTAATGTTGCAAGCAAGGACAATGCACTTTCAACACTAACCTTACATCCAGGATCCTTCACAGAGGCAGTCACTGCCATCAGGTTAATCTGGAAATTTCTAGGGTCCATTCTATACATTTATAAAACAGAATAATTATAAAAATACATAATGTTGATTGGTCCTTCTATTTTATCGAAATGGTGTAACATACCTACCATGAGAGCAAAACACCTGAGTCCTTATCAATGGCTCTTTCCTTTTAATTATTGTACAATATCCTGTACCACAGGTCATCTACCAGCCACTCTATGCATAGACATTTACTTCACTTCAAGATTCTTTGCTAATGAGAGATAGGGCTGCAACCAACAAGCCTGCACAGACTCTTTGCCCTCGATAAATGTCTTCAAAGGTAGATGATGTCAAGAACTTTTAAGTGTGTATTACAGATACCTGTATTTTAATAAAGATTCAGTAAAATTAATTTCCAAAGTGTTGACTATGTTGTTGACTATAAATGTGCCCATTCTCCATCCCCTTTGTTCCCCCTTGATTTTATCTGATCTTTTATTTTTGTTCCAATCCATAGTGTTGAAAACATGCAATGTTAAACATCTTTGAATATGTTTATAGGCTAGTTGCACTTCTTTTGTAAATTGCTGATTCATTTTCTTTGCCTGGCTTCTATCTGGTTGTGTATCTACTTTTAATTCTTAGTGGAAGTTCGTATATGTTCTGGTCTCTAATTTTTTGTTATTTATAGTGCAATATATTCTGCTAGTGTTTAAATTTTTAAAAATGTTCTTTATGTTATATTTTACTTTAATGAGATTTTTAATTTTGAAGAACTCAAATTTCTTAGTCTATTACTCTGTCTTTCTATTTTTCTAAATTTAGAGCCATCTTCTCCTCTTGACATCATAAAGAAATTACACTGTATATTATTGTAATACTTTTATGGTATTATTTTTTAAATTAACTTTATTGGTGTATTTTAGGTATACATTATGATCACATTCATCACTGGAAATTTGTACCTGTGCATGATATATCTTAGTTCTTGTTTTTTCCCATTCCTCTTTCCTCCATTCCAACCCTCCAACCCCTATTTACAAAAACTTGTTTTCATTTTTTCATTCTTTTCTCATATTTTTTCCTTTCCCTTATTTTCCTTTTCCCCACCTCTGCTACCTCCCTTTCCCCTTTAAACCTTTTCTTTCCCATTTCACATTATCTATTATACAATTTGGTCCTCATTTACAGTTTGAGTTTCTCATACCAGAAGACAATTCAGTATTTAAACCTGTGTGTCCTATTTATTGTACTTAAGAGTATGGCTCAATATGCATCCATTTAGCTAAAATGCCTCAAGTTTATCATTCTTTATGGTTGAGTAGTACTCCATTTTATTAAAAAACCACATCTTCTTTGTCCAGTCACCAGTTGATGGGAATTTGGGTTGTTTCTAAGATTTAGCTATTACCAACTATGCCACTATAAACATATTGCTGTGGTATGATGCTTTTAATTCTTTGGGGCAAGATACCCAGCAGGGAAATACCTGGGTCAAATGGCACTTTTAATCCTAGTTTTTTGAGGAATCTCCACACTGATTTCCACAGTGGTTGCACCAGTCTGCACTCCCACCAACAGTGGAGAAGTGTTCCTTTTTTCCCACAGCCATGCTGGCATTTATTATTGGTTGATTTCTTGACAGCAGCCTTTCTTTCTGGAGTGAGGTAGAATCTCAGTGTTGTTTTCATTTGCATCTCTTGGATGAACAGTGATGTTGAACATTTTTTCATATGTTTCTTTGCTGCTTTTACTTCTTTGTCTGAGAAATGTCCATTCATTTCAGATGCCCATTTTTGAACTGGGTCTTTAAATTTGGGAAGTCTGATTTTTTAAAGTTCTTTATAGATTCTAGATAGTAGACCTTTGTCTGAGGAACAGCTGATAAAATTTTTTTCCCACATTGTAGGTTGTCTGTTAGCTCTGTTGGTGGTTTTCTTGCAGTGCAGAAGCTTTTTAATAAGATGAGATCCCAGTTGTTGATTCTCTGTGCTAGTTCCTGTGCTACTGAGGTTTTGTTCATAAAGTCTTTTCCTATGCCAATGTCTTCAAGAGTTCTACCCAACCTATCTTCCAGCAAATTTAGTGTTTCTGTTTTGATATTTAGATCTTTAATCCACTTCAATTTTAGTTTAGTGCATGGTGAAAGATATAGGTCTACTTTTAGTCTTTGGCAGGTTGAAATCCAGTTTTTCCAGCACCATTTATTAAAGAGGCTATATTTTCTCCAGTGAGGGTGTTTAGCTCCTTTGTCAAAGATGAGGTGGTTGAGAATGTCTGGAGTTGTTTCTGCATCTTCTAATGCATTCTATTGATCCTCAGAGCTGTTTCTTTGCCAGTACCATGCTGTTTTATCACAGTAGCTTTGTAGTATAGTTTCAAGTTGGGGACTGTGATACCCTCTGCCTTGTCTTTTTTGCCTAGAATTGCTTTTGCTATTCTAGGTCTCTTCTGGTTCCAAATGAATTTTTGGATTGTTTTCTCTAGTTCTGTGAAGTATGCTGTTGGAATTTCAATTGGGATTGCATTGAATCTATATAGCAGTTTTGGAAGTGTGGCCATATTCACTATATTGATTCTTCCTACCCAAGAATAAGGGATGTCTTTCCATTTTCTGATATCCTCTTTGATCTCTTTTTTTCAGATTGCTGTAGTTTTCATAGAAGAGTTCTTTTACTTCCATCATTAGATTGATTCCTAGATATTTCATTTCCTTTTAGATTCTACTGTGAACAGAATTATTTCTCCCATTTCTTTCTCAGTGAGTCTGTTATTCATGTACAAGAAGACTATTGATTTTTGTATGTTGACCTTGTATCTAGCTACTCTACTGAATTTGATTATTAAGTCTAGAAGTCATTTGTTGGAATTTTTAGGGTCTTTATATTATAGAGTATCATGTCATCCACAAATAATGACAGTTTAACTTCTTCACTTCCTATCTTTATTCCTTTTATTTATTTCTCTTGTCTAAGTGCTGTGGCTGTTTCCAGGACTGTATTGAACAGGACTGGTGATAGTGGGCATCCTTGTCTTGTTCTGATTTTAGCATGAAAGATTTCAGTTTTTGATCATTTAGTATGATGTTGCCTGTTGGTTTTTCATAGATGGCTTTTATCAGGTTGAGATAAAGAGTATCTATTCCAAGTGTATTGCATTTATTGGTTTACATATGTTGAACCATCCTTCCATCCCTGGGATGAATCCTGCTTGGTCAGGGTGTATAATCTTCTTGATGATCTTCTGAATTCTGTTTGTGAGTATCTTATTGAGGATTTTTGTATCTATGTTTATTCGGGAGATTGGCCTGTAGTTCTCCTTTTCAGTTGGGGCTTTCTCGGCTTTTGGAATCAAGGTAATGGTTGCTTCTAGGAATGAATTTGGGGATGTAGCTTCTCTTTCAATTTCATTTAAGAATTTGAGCATTAGTGGCATTAGCTCTTCTTTAAATTTGTTGTAGAATTCAGCAATGAAACCATCAGGACCTGGGCTTTTCTTTGTTGATAAGTTTTTAATTACATGTTCAATTTCATTGATTGATATTGGGTTGTTTAGAATTTTTATATCTTTTTGGTTCAAATTTGGTAATTCATATGTATCTTGAAATCTTTCCATTTCTTCTGTGTTTTCCATCTTATTGGAGTACAGGTTCTCAAAGCAGGTATTGATGATCCTCTGGATTTCTGCTAGATCTGTTGAATTTCATCTTTTTCATTCCAAATTCCATGGATTTGAGGCTTTTCTTTTCTTATTTGATAAGGTTGGCTAAGGGTTTGTCGATTTTATTTATTCTTTTGAAGAACCAACTCTTTGATTTGGTGATTTTTTTCTATCATTCTTTTAGTCTCCATTGCATTGCTCTGATCTTTTTGCTGTGATCTTTATAATTTCCTCTTTTGTATGAGATTTGGGTTTGTCTTGCTTTTTTTCTAGAAGCCTGAAGTTCAGTATTAGGTTGTTTATTTGAGCATGCTCTGCTTTCCTAATATGTCTATTCATGGCTATAAATTTCCACGTAGGACTGCCTTCATTGTGTCCCATAAATTCCGGTATGTTGTATTGGCATTGTCATTTAATTGTAGAAACTTCCTAATTCCTTCTTTAATTTCCTCTGTGACCCATTGGTTGGTCAGGAAGGTGTTATTTAATTTCCATATGTTTAGGAAGTTTTTATGGTTTCTTTTGCTATTGGTGTCCAATTTCATTGCACTATGATCTGATAGTATACAGGGGATAACTTCAATTCCTTTGTATTTACTTAGGCACATTCTATGAGCTAGCATGTAATTTACTTTGGAGAATGACCTATGTGCAGCTCAGAAGAATGTGTATTTTGATTTTGTGGGGTGGAATACTCTGTAGACATCTATTAAGTCCATTTGTTGAAGAGTTTGGTTCAGTTCTAGTGTATCTTTGTTGATTTTTTGTCTAGTTGTTCTGTCTATCTGTGACAGTGGGGTATGGAGGTCCCCCACTACTATTGTATTAGTGCTTATTTGATTATTAATGTCCATTAATATTTGCTTTATATAGTTGGGTGCATTCGTATTTGGTGCATATATGACTGTCATCTCTTCCACTTGGATTGTTCCCTTTACAAGGATATAGTGACCTTCTTTGTCTCTCTTAATTAGTCTTGGTATGAAATCCACTTTGTCTCCAAATAGGATAGCTACCCCTGCTTTCTTTTGGGTTCCTGTCACACACAGTATTGTTTTCCATCCTTTGACTTTCAGTCTATGAATTTCTTTTTGAATTAAGTGGGCTTCTTGTATGCAGCATATTGCTGGATCTTGCTTCTTGATGCATTCTGCCAGTCTATTTATTTTGATTGTTGAATTGAGACCATTAACATTGATTGTTATAAGTGATATGCATTGACCTACCCTTGTCATGATCTTTTCCTGTTGTTCAATTTTTTTTCCTCCCTTTGCATTTAATTTCTTGCCTTCCCTGATGGGTTCAGTTTGTTGGGCTTCGTGATGTTGTCACATTCATTATCATTTCCTAGGACATTGTTTAGATTTTTTTTTTTTTGGTGTGCTTGTGTGGTATTCATGTAGTTTCTAAGTTGTTCTTTGTTGTGAAAGTATCTTATTTTTCCATCAGTTTTGAAAGATAGTTTTGCAGGGTACATCAATCTGGGTTGGAGGTTGTTTTCTTTTAGAGCTTGAAATACTTAACTCCAGGCTGTCCTTGACTTGAGGGTTTGTGTTGAGAAGTCTGCTGTGATTCTCACGGGCTTTTCTTTGTATGTGATTTGTTTCTTTTCTTTAGCTCCTTTTAATATTTTGTTCTTGTGTTGGATTTCTGGACTCTTGACTATTATATGCCTAAGTGTAGACATTTTTGATCATGGCTAGTTGGGGTTCTATATACCTCACTTATCTTTATGTCAAATTCTTTTTCCCTGTTTGAGAAATTTTCTGTGATTACATCTATGAAAAGTTTATTTATGTTTTTTGTGCTATATCCTACCCCTT